TACGTAAAATATGAGTGGTCGGTTTTTAGGGAGACAACCTCTTAAGGTTTTAAAGTTTAAGGTTTGCAAAGGACAACCTTTATTGAATTAGCTGTATATATATATATATATATATATATATATATATATATATATATATATATATATATATATATATATATATATATATATATATATATATATATATATATGAAGGGGTTGTAGGTAACATGGCCGGTGAATATTTGAAAAGGTTAAAAAGAATTTCTTCAGACATAAAATTGGAATAAAAAGATGTTAAAAATGTTTTATTTTCCAGACGTTTCGCCGGTCAAGGCTTCATCAGTGGAATATTACTTACTACAATATATACGTCTATTATATACAAGCTAGTCTATTAAAAATTCATGAATAAAATAAAAAATTATAAAATCTATTGAAATGCTAATTAGCTACGAGTCCGGTCAAGCAGTGTTTGATTAATTAAATACTAATTGTTCTACCTATGCAACCGTTCATAATATTTTTGCTACGGTTATGTATTTCAAGGGCTTCGATACATTTGCACAACCTTGTTCCCTGGCTATTTGCTCTTGGGAAGCAAAGACCCTGGTCGGAGCTGGTCACGTGAACCCCCAGATTTTGGGGGTGAATTGAATTTGGTCTCAGGGAGGGGTAGGAGAGTAGTCTGTTTGTTGCGTTTGGAAAATTGCAACTTTATGTGTTATAATTTCGGGTGATAAAAATGTAATTTGCAACAAGAGATTGTGAAAGGAACTGTTCTATAAAATTCGTACCGATCATGACAAGACTTGCTGCTATACTGAATGTCATCAATAATAAGTGTTGCGTTACATTTCAAGCGAGAAGCTGGATCATATTTCACTTGCAAGGAAAACACTCCACATGCACGCGCCTGGCCTGCGAAGTTTAGCACGTATTGCCGTAGAAACATACATATCTTCTACACAGACTGATCGATCAAACGGTATTAAACGAACGATATGGTTCTTTATAGTTGAAGTGTATCCTGTCCGATATTCAAAACAAAAGATTTATTTTATAACGGGATCCTTTGTCTTTGATTTTCCAAACATCGCCAACATGTGTAAACAATAGTGCTATTCTGACTGTAAAAGCACAGGATTAAAACCCGTTATGGACTGGCTATAAAATTCATTTCATTGACATTGCTGAAACTCAACGATCAAGAAAGATAATGTCGAAGTGTAGCTAGCTATCTGTTATCACACAAACGCCAAGACTCCGTACATGCGTTTCCGTGCGTGCGGTACAACTTGAATATCTAGGACGATATATGCACCAGACACTGGTATTGTACTTTATATAAATTATTTCATATTTTGTATATACAGTAATTTGCAACATGTATAAAATTAGACCTTTCATTGACATTGGCATTGTCCATTGAGGGCTTTATTGAAGAATAATCCAGTTTCTTTAGACTTGTATAATGGATTAATGCCGCTGTGAGTTATCAATATTTAAATCAACTTTAATCTTTATCGTATACTAGAATCGACATTTTAGAAGTTTAGTCTGTTTTACCAAACAATACTGGAGGCAAACAACCTATCTATCAATGGAAACTTTAAAAGGTTTCTTACAATAAAATCATTAATATAAGCGAGACTTCGTGTGCATATACAGTTTATGAATTATGTATGTCCCTGATAAAACGTAGGACACTTTATACCAGATATAATAAAAAATACTTTGCTAAACCTTTTCGGCTGTCATTCCTTTGCATTTAAGGGGAGAGGGTAAATCGCGATAGAATTTATAGGAGATGCTGTGCAATATTTTGGCTTCAACAAACAGGTACTCGTGCAGACAAAAAAGGAAATTCTTGCAGTTATGAATTGTCGTATGTCAGCTGTGCACTGTCGATTTCAAACAATTTTGTACGTTATATTTTGTCTTCCTGGTGTTTAATATAAACGATGATAGCCATTTAAAAAAAAATGTAGAGCAATATGTCTATAAACAGTTTTAGAATCAATAGAATGGACATTCACAATGTGTATTTGGCTTGTGTCCAAATGTGTCACGTTTAAGACCGGCAAGGCCCTAATCCTACGACCGATAAACAGTCGCTTTCGAGACATCTGTTTAACAAAATTTATACCATGTCCATATCAGAACAATTCATTGGCATATTATAAGCATATTATAAATATCAGAGCCACAACAGAAACGTATGCGTGAAATAAAACTACGCCCGAACCGGCGAACCCCGAGAAAATAAAAATACTGTATTTCAAAGCGTACAGTCATATGTTCTCGTTGCTTGATTTCCTGAATTTTCTGTTGCCATAAGAATCTACATTTTAGCATGTTTGTATAATTTAAAAGCAAACAGAAACCAATTTAGCAAGTAGTTTGAGGTATATATGATTCTTGAAGATGAATTAATGATTGTACAGAACGGCCACTCCTTGCAATCGAAGTGCGGAAGTGGAAACATGTAATATGAGACTTTTCCACCCCCCTCTTGGGCTATCAATTTTCAATGGGTCACGTGACCAGCTCCGACCAGGGTCTTTGCTTCCCAAGAGCAAAGAGCCTGGGAACGAGGTTGACATTTGCGTTCTTCTTGGTAGGCTATATTTCTATGTGATATTTTCCAACTTATGTCGGATTGATCTGGTCGTCTACTGTTATGAGATTCTATATGATTCGATAACGTTTTAATTGGAGCAACGCCTATAAGCAAAATTCGGGTTTGGCCATTCATCTATGATTATTTTGCCTTCTTGATGTCACAAGAGATGTCCGGAAAGAGATTGTTGACAATAGCTAATGAACTTAACGATGCCATTAAGTTTACTCTAGATATGCCTAATAACAACCAACTGCCATTCCTAGACACTTTGGTATCTTATAATCCCGCAGCTAAATCTTTCTCCGCTACACTTTATACCAAACCCATTCACAGCAAATGCATCACGCCGTGGGATAGTCATGGGTCAGTAGCATCTAAGCGGGCCATTCTTGTGGGTGAAACCAGAAGGGCCATTGGTTGCTCTACGAACCCCACTCATTGTAAAGAATCTCTTAATAAGGTCTTTACATTGTTCGTGAACAATGGATATCCTAGAAGGTTTGTTAGGGATATAATAAGACAAACAACACGCAATAAACCACGTAAGGATGACAAACGAGAAAATATCTATGTGAAACTTCCCTACATTAACGAAGAACTTAATTAAACGACGTGCCCTTTCAGTAATACGTAGATCAGGAATCAACAATGTCAAAATTCATTTCATTAACGGCAGACCTTCATCACGAGTATTTGCCCACCCAGAGATAGAGCAAGCTGTCGGGAAGATTGCGAAACATGTAAATCAGCAAGTAAACCTAAACAGTGTCTGATAAAGAACGTCATTTATGAAATCATATGTTCAAGTTGCGGAATAGTATATGTTGGAGAAACCGGTAGAACAACTGGATCGCGAATTAAGGAACACTTAAAAATGGACAAACAAACTGTGTACAAACATATAGAATCTCATAAGAGTAGACGACCAGATCAATCCGACATAAGTTGGAAAATATTACACAGAAATATAGCCTACCAAGAAGAACGCAAATGTATCGAAGCCTTTGAAATACATAACCGTAGCAAAAATATTATGAACGGTTGCATTGGTAGAACAATTAGTATTTAATTGATCAAACACTGCTTGACCGGACTCGTAGCTAATTGACATTTCAATAGATTTTATAATTTTTTATTTTATTCATGAATTTTTAATAGACTAGCTCGTATATAATAGACGTATATATTGTAATAAGTAATATTCCACTGATGAAGCCTTGACCGGCGAAACGTCTGGAAAATAAAATATTTTTAACATCTTTTTATTCCAATTTTATGCCTGAAGAAATTCTTTTTAACCTTTTCAAATATTCACCGGGCATGTTACCTACAACCCCTTCATATATATATATATATATATATATATATATATATATATATATATATATATATATATATATATATATATATATATATATATATATATCAAAAAAAGAGAAAATCGTCAGAGAAAATCGTCGAAATATTTACTTTGATTTATTTTGAATTCTGTCTGATTTCTTTTGAATTGTGACCGTCCGAATAAATCCGGTCTGTGGTTGACCGCTCACAATTCAAAAGAAATTGAGCGAAAATTTTCGATTTCGCAATCATCAGAAAATGGTTATAAATTTCGTTTCATGAGCACTTTAAATTCAGTTTGAGAAATAACAGTATATATTATTATTATATTAAATAACAGTATAAATTAGTTATTATTAGTAGACCATGGGATTCGCAACAAGTGAGTCTCACAAAGAGGGACCAAACAAAACCGAATTAAATCGTCCTATCAAGGCCTATGCTACGCGAAACTGGCAGGTAACAAGTCCAAATACCCGGCTTTTTGATAAAAAATAACCCAATGTGTGATTTCGCTTATTAGCTAAGACAAGTGAGCCAAGAAATGCTCATATCACGATCTTTAAATGATTATTTTTTTACTAATTCCTCAAACAACTTAAAATTATCTTTTAAAAGCACTAGAACGACTCTCGGTTATGATAGAAGAAATATTTTACACTCCATGAATGGTGAAAACAAAGTTTTGGCTCAAAAACCCCTAAAATATCAATAATTCAATGTCTACTCGAATTTTACTTCACTCAGCCCAAGTTTTATTAAATTTAAATCAATCAGATAGGGTGTTTTTTGTGTATTTATGATTGAATTATTTTAATTAAGGTAACTAAGACACAACAAGCGGAAAATCGAGTGTAAAATTCACACTGTATATACTATAAAATATATTTATTTTATCAACACACTTTGTTTACTTTCTACAAATATTTTTCGTTCGATCGAGAGACCTAATATCGCTCTAACATGAAGTATATCATCAATTAGTTCTGTCTTACCAAGCCCCTGACGAGGTTATATTTTATCCCTACAGGGCTCCCCCCCCCCCTCCAGTGTGTTAACGTCTTGGTAAGTGTACCGTGTGACCAGAACGTGTCGTTAACGATGGTGTTGGCAGTACCGTTGGCAAGGGTGGTTCAATTGTATCGGAAGGAACAGGTGTCATGGGATGTGCGGTTGGCTTGAGAGGAGGGTCGTCCATTTTCTCAAGGATTGCTGGCTTGAGCCTGTCGATAGAGACTATATCACGACAACCATTCTTGTTGAGGGTAAAGAACTTGCCATTGCGTTGGATGACTAGGAATGGGCCGTCGTAGGGTTGTTGCAACGGACTTTTGACTGCATCGTGCCTAAGATGGACGCAAACCGTGGTTTCGTGGGGGAACAGAACGTTGCTGGTGCATTGCATCCCGAAAAGAAAAATGACAGATGCCCAGAGGTTGGATTAAAATTGCCGGACACGATCCGACATTATCCTCCTGGGTAGGCCAAACCGTGATTCCCAACCATGTAACAGAGCAAGTGCACAGCTTTCCGCTGTCATGTCGACCATCGGAATAGCCTCAGTCCATCGGGTGTAGTGATCAATGCATGTGAACAGATAGCTGAACCCTCGTGACAGCGGAAGTGGGCCGACAATGTCAACATGAATCTCAGCGAAACGATGGTCTGGGATATCGAACTTCTGGAGCGGCGCTGTAGTATGACGATGAATTTTGGATTGCTGGCAAGCATTGCAAGTTTGAGTCCAGCGTCGAACATCACGATTGAGACCGTTCCACAGGGGGTGCCGACGAGCTTACATGTGGATCTAGCGCCTGGATGGGAAAGATTATATATCAGGTTGAATATCTCGCGACGAAAAGACTCTGGAACTACTCGTCGAATATTACCCTGAGATGAGTTCCCAGAGAAGTGAAAGGTTGTCATCACAATCAAGGAGAACATCCATTAACTTTAAATTTATTACCCCAGCTTTCAGGCACTGGGTCTCATGATGAGCAGCTTGAGCCATTGCCCGAAAGTCAATTCCGGTATAAGAGGTGGCATTGATTCGGATTCTGGAAAACGCGTCTGCCACTGTGTTATTCTTACCCTTGATGTGTCACAGGTCGGTGCTAAACTCAGAAATAAAAGCCAACTGCCGGATTTGCCGTGGAGAGCGTTGGGTTGACCCACTTGAGATCGCAAAAGTCAAGGGTTTGTGATCAGTGTACACGTAGAACACACGACCTTCGATAAACCACCGAAAATGACGAAGGGCTAAGTAAACGCCTAGCAGCTCTCGGTCAAACGTACTGTAACGTGTTTCTGCCGGCTGTAGCTTGCGAGAAAAGAAACCGATGGGACGCCACTCATAATCGATAAATTGTTCAAGGACGGCTCCCACAGCTAGATCTGAGGCATCAGATGTTATACTGGTTGGTGCATTATAATGCGGATGAACCAACAGTGTTGCACTAGCTAGGGCGGATTTACAGAACTGGAATGCTTCCTCGCATTCAGGGGACCAAATAAAATCGGCAGAGGATGATAGTTTGTGCAAAGGATGTAGCCTGCCAGCACAATGGGGGATGAAGCCATGGTAAAAATTGACCATACCGAGGAACTCGCATAACTTCTTCTTGTCAACAGGTTAAGGAAATTCTGCAACAGCTTGGATGGGGGGTGAAACAGGGGAAATCCCTAGGGCACTGACATGATGACCTAAGAATGATAACTGTGAACGTCCAAGCTTACACTTCTTAGCATTAATGACTAAGCCGTAATGCCCCAGTTGCTGAAAAAGCTGGCGCAGATGGTGGCGATGTTGATCAGGCAAGGTGTTGAAAACCAGGATGTCATCCATGATCATGAATACAAACACAAAGTCCGGGTCACGACAGACTTCATCCATGAATCGTTGGAATGTCTGGGCCGCATTGCGCAGTCCATATGGCATACGCTTGAACTCATAAAGGCCGAATGGTGTAATGACTGCTGTTTTAGAGACATCCTCAGGAGCAACAGGAATTTGATGGTATGCACAAACCAGGTCAATCTTGGGGAAGATTTTTCAACCAGCAAGACAAGCAGAAAAATTCTGAACGTGAGGCATAGGGTAACGGTCTGGTTTAGTGGTTGCATTGGAGCTCGTTAGTCACCACAGGGGCGCCAGTCACCGTTCGACTTTGGGACCATATGAAGTGGGGATGCCCAGTTACTTGATGATTTGCACACCATGTGAGAAGACAACACCTGGTCAAACTCGGTTTTTGCAGCGGCAAATCGTTCAGGAAAAAGGCGTGCGTCGAGTCTTCAAAAAAGTGGGCGGTCCGGTCGTGATAATATGGTGCTGAACATTGTGCTTAACAGCTGGATCGGTGATGCGGGTTCGCAGACAGCTGCAAACTCAGCAAAAATGGTATCGAATCCATTGGTGACTTTAGCTAGCGATATGCGATTGAGAGAAAGGGAACTGAATGGTGATGTCTGTGCAGGGACAGTTACTAATGTTGCTGCATCGACGAGACAAGAGTTGGCAACATCAACCAACACCCAAAAATGCGGCAGGAAGCACCTAAAACTGGTTGGTTCACCTCTGTAATGAGAAACGACCACTTCAGCTGCCGGTGCAGACAAAGGTTCAGGCAAAGTTCACGCTTGCCATAGGTATGAATTGTCGAATTGTTAGCCGCAGTCAGAGAAACCACCTTTCTGCGATACCGCTTGTCATGTTGCGTAGCTGGGAAAACACTGACCTCGGCACCTGTATCAATTAGAAACCAAGTTTTTGAATGTTTGTCCCCCACATACAACAGGCGGCTTGAGGAAACCACAGTCACGTCGCCTCTACTGGTGACCGGTCTTGTCGTTTCTCAGTGCCGTATATGTACAGTGTTGACAACATTTCGAAGCCTTTGCACCAAATCGGGTGTGATACCAACAGAGACCTTCCTTGACCAGCTTGGGATCAGCATTAGGTTTCCGTGCTCCAGTGTCAAGAAGCTTGAGGTCTTTATTGAGATTAGATCTGATTGACGAGATTTCTGCTGACTCGGGTGTTTCAATCTGAGCAATGGATGGGCGAGCATAGGTTAGCTCTATCATTCCATCAGCCATCAATGCTTAGTCAGCCAACGGTTTGTCTGGATGTGATAACAGACTAATCTGGACATTCGAAGGCAGGCGCTGTAGAAAAAGCTCACGTAGAAGCTCTTTGCCGGATGTACCATGTAATTGTTGTAAGCGTCGGAGCAGTTGTGATGATTTTCGGTCCCCTAACTCTTCAGCATGCAAGAATTGTTGGATCTTTCGACGCTTGGAAAAGGACATTCGCTCGGTGAGTGTAGCTTTAAGTACGTCGAACAGATTCGTAGAAGAAGGCGTAAAGATCAGGTCGCGAACCTCAGTGACAGCTTCGGGCGATAAAGCCGCGATGACATGAGCGAACTTGGTACCTTGTGATATTTTTCACCATAAATTGCGCTTCGACGTGTGCAAACCAGATCTCTGGGTCGGAAGGCCAAAATGGCGGAATTTTAACTGCCACCGCGTTCGTAGCTACCACGTTCGTAGCGGCCCTAGGTGGCGGAGTTTCTTTCGAGTTGCTTGATGAAGAAGGAGTCATAATGATGAAGTAAATACGGGGTCACCAATGTAGAATTCACACTGTATATAGTATAAAATATTTTTATTTTATGAATACACTTTGTTTACTTTTTACAAATATTTTTCGTTCCATCGAGATACCTAATATCGTTCTAACATGAAGCTTATCAAAAATTAGTTCTGTCTGACCAAGCCGCTGACCAGGTTATATTTTGTCCCTACACAAGAAATATTAAATGCGAAAGAAACATCAAAATATGTAAATTAACGTACCTGTTTTGGCAGCCATTTTGAATACCGTGTTATCGGGGCCTGGTAGCTAGTAAGACCTAGGCTCTCATGTTTGTAGGAGTATAAAAATAGCCTATAAAAAGACTAGTTTTTGCCATATCTTGTAAAATAGAGTAAAAAAGCAAAAAGCAAATAAGTTTGGTTATATTCAGTTCATTTTTAAACTTCGTTTTGAACGTTAGTGAAAGCAGGCAAGTACTTTACACAATTTTAACAAGGTGAAATCGCCCCAAAGACGTGACAGTTAACTATTGGTATTTCGATACATATTCTCCCGAGAGATATTTTTAAAAGGTTCATGTCAAAGCAATGAGACACGGGCTTGGAAAAATAAAGGATAATAAATATTTAACTAGTTCCGTTTTTCAAACCTTATAATGTATTAATCTTGTCACTTACCAACACATTGCATTTAAAATGTCATGATACGACATGATAGCCGGGTATCCAAACTTGTTACCTGCTTTTTTCGAATTCTCCATACAATAAATGTTATTAAAATTGCAACGATTTTTGGTCCCTTTTTGAGAGACTCAAAACGACTTATTTGTTGCGAATCCCATGGACTATAGCAATTTTATAGTATTCTATATAGTTGGTGTTTTAATATTATCAACATACATAACATAAAGTAATTTTATATTCTTAACGAGAAGAGCATATAATTAATTTTTTAGTAATTCTATAGTATAGTAATTTTAGTAGTCAATTCATGTAGCTACTATGTTCTAACACTTAGCATATATTTTTAACACTTAATGTTAAGCGCTATTGAGCTATGGGAAATGGCGCTATATAAATGAATTATAATAATAATAATAATAATAATAATAATAATAATAATAATAATAATAATAATAATAATAATAATAATAATAATAATAATAATCATAATAATAATAATTTAGTGCACGAATATATATTGAGGTAAGTTCTAGACAAGATAGAAAACTTCAACTTCTGCTGGTTGAAATTTGTATGTTCCTGCCAAGACGCTGCTTATGTCTCTGACACCAGATGGAGATTGGTAGTTGTAATCAAAATCTGTGTACGACTCTCTATTCGAATCCGCATTATCACTTATGTGCATATCATAACCCTGTCCAAATGTTGGTCCATCACTACTTTTTGTGCAAATTGCAACCTTATTTTCATCTTTCAGTGGGGCTTTAAAAGGAGGCACAGTCTCTTTGTTACGAAGAGAGAAGATGAAGGATCCTGGAGCTCTTTTGCAGGCATTACCTGTTTATAACGTAAAAATAATGTTTTCATATATTTAACAAGGTTTAAAATTTATTGAGTATCGCCATAGTAGTGGATGTCTAGGGTGTCCAGGGCATGCTCACCTGGAAAATTTTTGAATCTATACTCTCTGAAATGCCATTTCACGGACATTGGGAGGGAGTTTACAGAATTCTGATGGTCAGAAAACAACATTGTAACAAATCAGAGGCCCTGGCCGATATTTTTCTTTGTAGTCCGAGCCTGGGGAGTCCCATTTGGCCCATTGGAGTTGGTGGTCCCGGGTTCTCCCGGTCCGAGCCCATAGTATAGTTACGCCACTGATAACAACTTATTATGTGCTGTTCTAATAAAAACTATTGTTTTTGATATGCATATTTACACAAATTTTCTAGGGTGTCCAGGACATGCTTACCTGGAAAATTTAAGCAAGCGTTGCTCAACTTAAAGACGTATTAGAAATACATGCATGCAACAACCCCTCGCCTATATCCCCCAAATATTCTTTCAACATGAAGTATTCGTAATTACGCCAACACTGAACGCAGACTCGCGTTGCCACGTCATGTTTAATTTCAATTCACATTTAAAAGCGTTTTTAATACATAGAGTTTCCTTTCGAATTTTACATTAAAATAAAGCCCATATATATAGAAACCTAAATAATATAACCAACATACTTGCAGGGAAGTGAGTCCGGAAATGGACGCACCAAGGGTGGCCGGAAGTTTCCCGAACTCACCTCGCTTCGCTCGGTGAGTTCTCGCGAAAATTCCAGCCACCCCAGGTGCGTCCAATCCCGTACTCACCGAACCTGCAAGTATGTATGGTTTTTATCACATATATATATATATATATATATATATATATATATATATATATATATATATATATATATATATATATATATATATATATATATATATATATATATATATATATATATATATATATATAACTTGCTTGGTTGTTGAAGCCAAAACGAGTACAGTGCTCGATGCGGGAAATTCGCAGAGCTTAATATGGTGTTCAAAATGAAAAAAAAAAAAAAAAAATTAGAAATAAAAATTTTTTTTAAAAATTTAATG